GAAAAGGAGAGCTGTGATATGGGGGAGCTGTGATGTTAGAGGGGAAGCTGCGGTATGAAATGTCTGTGATGTCAGGAGGTTGTGATTGCAAGGGGGACTGTGATTTCAAGGAGGGACTGTAATGTGAAGGGGGGCTGTGATGTAATCGGGGCTATAATTTTGGGGGGCTCTAATGTGAAAGGGAGTTGTGATGTACAGGGGCTGTGATGGGACAGGAGGGACTGAGGATATTAATTAGGGGCTGTGATGTGAAGACCTGAGTAATAGAAGAAAAATGAGACTCAGACCTGTGCAGAAAGAAAATGTTATCATCAGACCTCCGTGAATTTTAATTCAGTACCCCTGTTTTACTCCCTTCATGACCAGGCCAATTTTTTTGCTATTTAGCACTGTGCTATTTTAACTAGTAATTAGTCATAGAACACTATACCCAAATGAAATTTATATCATTTTTTTTTCACACAGAGAAAAATTTCTTTTGGTGGTATTTGATCATCACATGGCTTTTATTTTTTTGCAATATAAACAAAAATCCCCCAAAAAACTATATTTTTTACTTTCTGCCACAAAAACATATTCAATAAAAAACATTAAATAGTCAAATTTATGAAGAAATGTTGGCCATAATATATTCTGATACATGTCTTTGATAAAAGAATTCTGAATAAGTGTATATTGATTACATGAAAATTATAGCGATTACAAACTATGGTATATATACTGAGTTTTTTTATACTGCTAATGGCAGTGATCAGAGACTTATAATGGGATTGCAATAGTGCGGTGGGCAATTCTGACACTAACTGACGCTGGGGGGAACTGAGTAACTGCCACTGACATTACCAGTGACAATAATACAATGATCAGTGATAATACTATACACTGTCACTGTATTAACAAAACTGGCTGGGAAGGGGTTAACACCTAGGGTGATCAATGTGTTAAATGCTTGCCTAACAATGTTTACTATGTGCAAAGTATGCTGCTTTTTACTAATTATCTTAGTTTCTCATCTCTGATTTGCAGGGATGAGAAGCAGAGAGATCGTGCCCTCCGTACAGAGCTCTGGGCTGTGAATGTACACAGCTGATCTGTGCATTACCACTGATTTTATAGTGCTCATCAATTTAATATTTGTATTTTTGGTATTCTAGTAAGTATCTTAAGTATTCTACCTTAGTGTAGTTTAAAATTGGTCAATAAATCTTTGTCTATTAGTTCTAATTTAATACTTGCCAAGTTTAAAAAAATGTTTAATAAGTATGGCAAGGGCCCAACTTAAGTAAATAAATACATTGAAGAGGGATATTTCCTGTTCCTTTTCATTTCTGAAAATGCCCTGATTCAATTACGTTGGTACTTTTTAGTGGTAATCTGCACCACTGGTGACGCTCAGAAAGGTCATCAAATTTGACACTGGTAGACTTGAAAGTATATATTACAACTGTTTTGTATTTTCACTTTAGAAGGACTACATGCAGAGTTTCCAGCAAGATGACATTTCAAAGCATGGGTATACACTTAGCAGATCTGTAAAAAAATGTGCAAGTGTACATATTGATCCATATTTTTAGCTTGGTAAATGTAGCTCTTTATCAGCTGAGGGCACGTTAATGTTAAATTCACACTTTTTCAGAACAAAGTGTGATCTCACATAATATATGTGACTGTATAACACTTTCCAGCGCTACAGATAATTTGTACACCAGTGCACATGTTGCCTTGAGGGATAAACTAGTAAGCATTAAAAAACTATAGCAGTGGGAAAGGAGCTGCACAAATTGGCATACTATTAGATATTGTCCCAATGAAGTAATCGGCTCTGATTTTTGTGTTATGGTTTACATTTCATTATAAAATATTCCACATTATCAGTGTAAAACACTAAAACAATCATAGTATAGCATGTTATTAATTTTTCTAAGCTTTTTAATTAGTTTATAAGTTGAAAGCAAGTTGAATAAGAGTAGGGCAAATTCGTATACAACATATAGTGCCCTATTCATAATAACTAGAGATGAGCGAATCGAACCAGGCGAAGTGGAATTCGTTTCGAATATCGGGAAAAATTCGATTCGCATCGAATCTGAATTTTAGCCAACTTCGGGTGCACGAATCGAATTTTTTCCCGATCAGCCGTCAAAAGTGTCACTGCAGAGAGCTCCGCTATTTCTGACAGTTTCTGACAGATTCATTTACAGCGGTTGAAACATTGTATCTATTTGTTTCCATTTAGGATACAGATGTTTTTATTCGGAAATAAATAGATACAATGTTTCAACCGCTGTAAATGAACTGTCAGAACTGTCAGAGAACTGTCAGAAAAAGCGGAGCTCTCTGCAGATACACTTTTTGCTGTACTGGAATACTTTCTTCTTTTCATTCTTCTTCGTTCTCTTTTCATTCTTCTTCTTCTTTTCATTCTTCTTTTTTTCATTCTTCTATCTTCTTCTTTTCATTCTTCTTCTTCTTCTTTTCATTCTTCTTTTCATTCATCTTCTTTTCATTCTTCTTCTTCTTCTTTTCATTCTTCTTTTCAGAATTCTTCTTCTTCTTTCTTCTTTTCATTCTTCTTCTTCTTATCATTCGTCTTTTCATTCTTCTTCTTCTTCTTTTCATTCTTTTTCTTTCTTCTTTTCATCCTTCTTTTCATTCTTCTTCTTCTTTCTTTCTTTTCATTCTTCTTCTTCTTCTTCTTCTTTTCATTCTTCTTTTCATTCTTCTTCTTCTTCTTCTTTTCATTCTTCTTCTTCTTTTCATTCCTCTTTTCATCTCTTCTTCTTCTTTCTTTTCATCTCTTCTTCTTCTTCTTTTCATTCTCTTCTTTTTCATTCATTCTTCTTTTCATTCTTCTTCTTCTTCTTCTTCTTTCGATTCTTTTTCTTCCTCTTCTTCTCTTCTTCTTCTCTTCTTCTTTTCATTCTTCTTTTCTTCTCTTACCTCTTCTTTTCATTCTTCTTCTTCTTCTTTTCATTCTTCTTTTCATTCTTCTTCTTTTCATTCTCTTCTTCTATCTTTTCATTCTTCTTCTTCTTCCTCTTCATTCTTCTTCTTTTCATTCTTCTTCTTTTTCATTCTTCTTCTTCCTTTCATTCTTCTTTCTTCTTCTTCTTTTCATTCTTCTACTTCTTTTTCATTCTTCTTCTTCTTCTTCTTTTCATTCTTCTTTTCATTCTTCTTCTTTTCATTCTTCTTCTTCTTCTTTTCATTCTTCTTTTTCATTTTCTTCTTTTCTTCTTTTCATTCTTCTTTTCATTCTTCTTCTTCTTCTTTTCATTCTTCTTTCTTCTTCTTTTCATTCTTTTTCTTCTTCTTTTCATTCTTCTTTTCTTTCTTCATTCTTTCTTTCATTCTTCTTTTCATTCTTCTTCTTCTTCATTTTCATTCTATTCTTTTCATTCTTCTTCTTCTTTTTTCATTCTTCTTCTTTTACCCCCCCCCCCCCCCCCCCCACCCCAATTCTCTTCTTCTCATCTTTTCATTTCTTCTTTTCATTCTTCTTTTCATTCTTCTTCTTCTTATTTTTCATTCTTCTTCTTCTTCTTCTTTTCATTCTTCCTTTTCATTCTTCTTTCTTCTTTTCATTCTTCTTCTTCTTCTTCTTCTTTTCATTCTTTCTTTTCATTCTTCTTCTTCTTCTTTTCATTCTTCTTTTCATTCTTCTTTTCATTCTTCTTTTCATCTCTTCTTCTTCTTCTTCTTCTCATTCTTCTTTTCATTCTTCTTCTCATTCTTCCTTTTCATTCTTCTTCTTCTTTTCATTCTTCTTTTCATTCTTCTCTTTCTTCTTTTCATTCTTCTTTTCATTCTTCTTCTCTTCTTTTCATTCTTCTTCTTCTTTTCATTCTTCTTTTCATTCTTCTTCTTTTCATTCTTCTTTTTCATTCTTCTCTTTTTCATCTTCTTTCTCATTCTTCTTTTCATTCTTCTTTTCATTCTTATTCTTCTTTCATTCTTCTTCTTTTCATTCTTCTTTTCATTCTTCTTCTCTTCTTCCTTGCATTCATCTTCTTCTTCTTTTCATTCTTCTTTTCATTCTTCTTCTTCTTCTTTCATTCTTCTTCTTCTTTTTCATTCTTCTTCTTCTTCATTCTTCTTCTTTGTCGTGCCCCGTGACTGCCCAAATGAGTGAAGTGTGGCGGTGATTCTAAAGATCGACGGCAACTCATCCTGCATGTCCATATGACTGACAGTATTATTTCTCTTCCCCAGCAGACTCCAAGGCATTTAAATTAAAGGTACAGTGTTCTGCACTAATATAAAGGCTCTCTGAAGCCTAGAAACCCTTTTATATAAGTTAAATTTGCGGCGAATAAATTTGCATCAAATCGAATTTCATTCTCCCGCAAATTCGGCGAATCAGCCGAATCGAATTTTTGAATAATTCGCGTCATCTCTAATAATAACTAATCAATTCTCATCATTAGGATAGACTCCAAAGTTGAATTCCAGCTGTTTAGAAGAAAATATTTCCAACAGGAAAACAGATGAAAACAAAAGATTTTGAATTTTCAGACATTCACTGTCCCTGCCTTTCTATCCTGATGACACACCTCTCCCCCCATTCATCCAAAGTTAAGCATTAACAAACAACTATCTGGGCATGTAATGTCATTATAGTGGCAAATAGAAAAGCATGACAAAAAATACGTCCAACCTTGCACTGGTTAACTGGAGAATCATTGGATCCATAGGCTGTAATTAACACCCCAATAGGCTATCAAATACAAACCCTGGCCTGCCTCTCTGCGCTCAGAGTCCAACCACCTCCATGATGTTTAAGAGAAGCCCACCTGAAGTCACTGACATTCAGGGGGCTGACGGTCTTCACAGTGCGGGCCACCTGTAGTCTCAGACATTGTTATGTGAAGAATCCCACCCACCTGACTTCTTCTTCCTCTTAGTGGATTGACCAGTTGCAGCAGGTATGAATGTAAAACTCCTGAGTTTCTGATGGTGCAGATCTTATGTGTTAAGGTGTAGGAATTGGGGTTGCTTTGAGGTCTGAAGATGCAGGAATTGCGACTGATCTGAGGTGTGAAGGTACAGGAATTGGAGCTGATCTGAGGTGTGAAGGTACAGGAATTGGGGCTGATCTGATGTGTGAAGGTACAGGAATTGGGGATGATCTGAGGTGTGAAGGTACAGGAATTGGAGCTGATCTGAGGTGTGAAGATGCAGGAATTGGGGCTGATCTGAGGTGTGAAGGTACAGGAATTGGAGCTGATCTGAGGTGTGAAGGTACAGGAATTGGGGCTGATCTGATGTGTGAAGGTACAGGAATTGGAGCTGATCTGAGGTGTGAAGGTACAGGAATTGGAGCTGATCTGAGGTGTGAAGGTACAGGAATTGGAGCTGATCTGAGGTGTGAAGGTATAGGAATTGGGCTGATCTGATGTGTGAAGGTACAGGAATTAGGGCTGATCTGATGTGTGAATGTGCATGAATTGGGACTGATCTGAGGAGGAAAAGTGCAGGGAATTGGGCAGATCTGAAGAGTGAAAGAATTGGAGCAGATCTGAAGAGTGAAGGTGAAAGAATTGGGGCTGATCTGAAGAGTGAAGGAATTTGCACTAATCTGAGGTATGGAGATGCAGGAATTGGGGTTGATTTAAGGTGTGAAGGTGCAGGAATTAGGAATGAATGGAGGTTTAAAGGTGCAGAAATGTGGGTGTTCTGAGGTGTGAAGATGCAAGAATTGGGCTGATCTGAGTTGTGAAAGTGCTGGAATTTGGCCTGATCTGAGGTTTGAAAGTGCAGGAATTTGGACAAATCAGAGCTTGTTATTGTACAGTATATTGGTTGTTTGAGTGTGAAATGAAAATGTGAAAAAGGCTTCTGACTTCTGATCTGTATGAACTTTATTACTTAGCTGGAGCTTCTCCTTAGGATTTGTGAAGGGATTGAAGGTGGAGGAATTGGGGCTGATCTAAAGTGAGAAGGTGCAGGAATTGGGATTGATTTGAGGTTTAAAGGTGCAAGAATAGGGGCTGATCTGAGGTGTGAAGGTGCAAGAATTGGGGCTGATCTGAATTGTGAAGGTGCTGGAATTGAGCCTGATCTGAGGTGTGAAAGTTCAGGAATTTGTACAGATCTGAGCTCTAAGTCATGCTATTGTTTATTGGTTGTCTAATGAGCGTGAAATGACAATAAAAAAAAGACTTCTGACCCCTGATCTGTATCAACTTTGTTACTCAGCTGGAGCTCCTCTTTATATAGGACTCGCATATTACTGGAAACCTATGTAAGAGTGAGTCCATATACAGTATTTGTAATTCAAAAACTGCAGATGGAAAAATACTAACTGTACCATATTCACAATATGATTTTTTTTTGCATTGGAATAAATGCAGCCAATAAATACTTTGTATTCCCCGTTTATCCCAGTAGTCAGTACATTATCATTTTTTGGCCTCTTTCAAAAATGCATCTCCTTTAAACAGATCATTCAGGCCTGAAGATTAGGGATTCTATCTGCGCAGAGGTCCAGTCCCCTGGAAAATATGGCTTTGGGAACTAGGCCAACTGTGAAGTGTATATTCTAGGGTGAGTGAATAATTGAGCAGCAGGCCTGCCCATATGTCAGGTTGTGCCACAAATACTTCATTGCATATCTACCATGACAAACAGGATTACTAAAGACAATTAATCTGGCACGCTTTATTAAAATCAAGAGCAGCCCCCAACCTTCTCCTCAGTGTGCAGCAGATGCCGCACTCAATTCAGTGGAGCTCAAGTGTTCCTTTTTCTAATGCTGAAAGGAATCCAAGGTCTAAATAAGTCTGGCATGGCCTAAGTACAACTACTGTTTGATAATAACAATCTTAATCAAATATGAGATCGGCTTTATTTCAAGCTCCTAGCACAGAACTTGGCTTCTGTCTGTCAGCTGTTGATTCACACAAATCTACATTTGTTTCTAAATAAAATGAGCTGTGTGCACAGAGTTTTTTTAACTTTTAAGACACAATGCATGTTTAGACTTCATTTACAGCATTCAGAAAGCACAGTATATAAAAAAAGAAGTTCTTGGTTACAGAATTCATTTCAATTATTGATTTATTGTTTCTTTTGGAACCCTTAATTTGTATTATTATATTATTATGATGTTTTTAACACTTTATTGGTATTGGCAACCAATATTTAAAAGGTAATTCCACTTTTGGGGGGAATAATATCAAATAAAATATTAAATAAAAAAATATACAATTGCTACACAAGTCATATTGTAAGTGAATGTTATTAAAATGATATTTCCTTTTAAAACTACAACCAATGTAATCTTCGGTAATGTTTAATGCAATTTGACAACCTGGAGGCATTCTGTACACAGATGATGTACAAAACACCCCATAAATGTCATTTCCTGCTTGTGTGAATTGATCATTGATATTCCCATAAGTCTGCACTAAGATACAGATCAAATTTTGGGCATCCACTACAACAAAAATGTCATACTCCTAAAGGGAAATCATGACTACAGGAATACAGACCCTGCAACTTTCCTCATTAGAACCCTGAAAGTGCAGTATGTGATTGTTATTTATAAAATCACTCCCATTCAGGGGCGGACTGACAACTCATGGGGCCCCCGGGCAATAGGGGATCATGGGGCCCCTGTGTCCTTGCACAAACTCAAAAAAGACTATGAAAAAGGTACCAGGGACATCTCATGGGGCCCCCTACTGACACCGGGCCCTCGGGCAGTGCCCGAGTTTCCAAATGGTCAGTCCACCCCTGCTCCCATTCACACATTCACTTTGCACATGGAAACAGACAAACACACAGCTATTTCCTCAGAAGAACAAATGGTAGGAATCTGCAACAAAGTATGTACAAGCCTTCAGTACAGATCTAGGGGCTTAACAAGATATATTATTTTAGACATAATGAACATATTGCTTTCAATTTTTAAACTAGTGATTCAGTTCTAGATACATATTTTCTTATGTAGGAATCACAGTTGATTATATGACTATATGTGTAATATGCTTGTTAACTAAAAAATTAAAAAAAAATCCTTGCAATGTTCATAGATTACCCAGAGGGGAATGTTTTTTTTTCACAGCAAAAGTGGAGTTACTCTTTAAATGAGCAGTGCTTCCATTATTTCTACTAGCAACGTGTACCAAAACAGACTCTTCTCACTTTTATCATTTTGCTCCTTTACAGAACTCTAAAGAGTTACTATTAATGCGGAACTTCACTGTCTCAATCGATATTGACTATTTATACTCTTTATGCCACTAGCATTAGTAAATACTGTACATACATACATACATACATGTATATTATATTTGTTTTAAAACTTTTTTTTCTTACATTTCCTCATGTACTTCCTGGTTTCCAGCATGAGTCGTACATTCCATGAATCTTCAGGAGGGGAGGAGGGATTTTGCAGCTGAGCAAACCCCCCCGTCTTCATGCCTGAGCTAGGTGAAGATGGATTCTAGGAAGAAAATGCTACACGAATTATCTGCCCTTAATCATGATGGCCACAGCCAGAAATGCTAGGGGGTGTTTTTTAAAATGATTTCTCAGCAAAATAAAGCATAGAGGCATTGATGGATGGGTAAGTTTGCTTTAAATTTTAAAAATGATTTAAATAGCGTTTTTGGTTTGTGGTGCTCAGAAGCATTGTAGTTCCACTTTAAAGTAAATCCAAAACCAATCACCGAATTCTCAAATATGCATTAACATGTTAATTTAATTTTGATCAAGTTGTTTTTAAAATCTGCACCATTTATTACAACAGCACCTGGTTATCCTACTGGTAGGATCCTTGTTCAGAAACTTCCAGTTGTGCTGATAACACCCATCTGCCATCTGTTTCCCATTGCAGAGATTTTCCTTCACTTTCTGTTCCATAGCCAAACAGGATGTGAAACAAAAATCCTTCAAATTAAAGAAATTCCATGGGACTTCTCAAGTCACCAGAACTAGTGTCCCCATTGGAAGATTTCTCTTCTATTACTTTTCTGGGGACAATCCAAAAGTTTGAATTTTGTTTTACTTTCAGTTTCAATGATAATGGTAAACAGGACAACTAGAGATGGTGAATCTTGTTAATAGGGGCACAGACAGCGATAAAAACTGACAAGTGATCTAATTCCTTTCCACTCTATCCAAAACGAAAAAAAAAAAACGTTTTGCCTTTAGTTATACTTTAAGAAAGTTGGTGGTGTCTAAAAGAAGAAAAAGCATACCTGCCACTTTTGGTCATAGCAGTTGGTAAAAAAAAAAAAAAATGGCCAGTGGTTGGAAAGTAGAACACAGTCCCAGAAATGATCAGACAACCTGGGGATTCTTGGGGAAGGGGAGCGGCAGCAATCAAAAGGGGAATTAGGTGATAATCTGTAATTACACATTTCTTCAAGCTAGTATTAATTATGCCTGCAGTATGTGCCTGTACAATCCGTGTATCATTCTGTTCTTTAAGACTCTGGGTAGGGTCACCAATACATTAACAGTAAACACTGTTGTTTGATTGGCAGTCCACCTTTGCTTGACAATCCAGTTGGGCTAGGATCACAATTGACCATCTGTGTTTGCTGGTTTTATAATGTTGGAGTTGTTGAAGTTGTTTTGTAAATAGTGAAATAGACACCCCCCCCCCCCCCCAAAAAAAATATATATACATACCAGACCCTTATCATTATTTATAAAATAAAAGGAAAAGTGAATTAACAGAATTTTTTTCTATATGTCATTTTTATTATTATAAATATTAAAAAAAACAACAAGAGGTCCCCACAAAATCAATACTAGACCCTCTAGATCTGACTAAATATGATAAGGTTAAATTAAAGGTCTGGTATAGATGAAGGGAAAAAAAGCAGACAGGGATTCCCTTTATCTATACCAGCAGTCTCCAAACTATGGCCATAGGCCAGGTGTGGCCTTTTGTTTGTCTTTATCTGCCCATTGGGATATTGTTCTTCCCATTGATGCCTACAATGGGGTATTATTCCTCCCACTGACATCAGTGATTGGATGCTATTTCTTCCACTTATACCAATGATGGGCCACTATTCCTTTCACTAATACCAACTATGGGCACTTTTCCTACCACTAATGATAGGGCATTTTCTACCCCCACCAACCTCGCTAAACTCTAAATGACAGTAAACTGGCCCTTTGATTAGAAGGTTTAGAGACCACTGATCTATACCAACTGTCATTTATCCGCAATTTAAATGTAATTTTGTTCTCTGTAAACGTCAGTTTTGCTATAATGGTTGTATATTGTACATCTTACAGATGTACCATTGTGCAGAGAGGTTCATGGCATTCCCTATGCATGTTATTTAATTTTTTTGCTTTGGTACAGGTTCCCCAAGGTGGTGCTCAGTCCTCATGCCATTTTTTGACAATCCTTCACCTATTAGCCTAGAAAATTACCATTGCTGCTTTTTAACTTTCATTTCCCATTGACTTCAATTAGGTTCAGATTCAGTACCCTTACTTTAGTAAAGTTTGCCAAACCCACCTCAAATCAAACTTTGTCATACTATAAATGTACTTTATTTTTCATCTGCAGATAAAACTACATTTTTGTGTCATGCTCGCCATACGTGTTACAATCTTATCATACATTTCTATTTCTATTTCTACGTTTAGCAAAATCAATGTAATATTGAC